TATATCTTTAAAAGAAGTAGTACCATGTTTTTGCTACTCAAAAAATTCCCAATATTGCCAACAAGTGACCTAATGTGGGCAGCTTTAAATTCAATAAGAATTTATACAGGTGTTATCTTAAACCTCGAGTTTCTCAAAAAGTAAGTAAAATTTAAATATAAGATAAATTACGAACTTACTCTATTTTTTGACCTAAAATTGATATCTGAATAAAAATATAGTGTGTTCCATTTGAAAATCATAAGATTTTGTTAATTGGTTAAACTTTCGTTGCAATCCCTATATCGCTTCACAACACATAACCTCAATTTCTGCCTAAACTATGCAAAATTTGAGTAGGAATTCCGGAAGTGAGCGACCTTTATTTTAATCAAGGATTCCAGAAATGTCGAAATATACAGGGTATTCCATTTCAAATAACAAAGTTGACGCCCTGGTGCCGCCGGGGGGGGGGGGGGTAGAAGGGGGGTGCACAATAAAATTATAATATTTTAAATTTTCAGGAGAGTCCAAGAAACTTTTGTACGAAACTTTTTTCGTATCTCCTATGAGTTTCCAGATCATATAGATGGTTTTATTTGGTACACAATGTACAAAATGTTTGTATTGTGTATTAACTCTTTATAATTTGTATAATTCACCGGTTGTACTTAGCTACTACTGACTTAGATACTTAAGAGAAGGATGTGTTTTTTTTGCTAACCATTGCTGTTAATAGAAGTCAAGATACATTCAGCGGTCAATGAAGTTTAGTTTTTAAAATAACACTTTGCACACGCTAATCAGTGCATAATTGGGTATTTTAAAGAAGGGAGTAGAAAAATATGCAACAACTGTGATAAACACCACTTTAGTTACGAATTTGATTGGGCACGAGCGGAGCGAGCGGTTAATGACTGAAGAAGTTGTCTGCATACTTTTTTCACGACCATTTCTGGGTACACTTTTGCAATACAGTAACAGTAATAAAGGACGCCGTCCATATCTCAGGAACCGTTAGTCTTACAGCTTAAAAAAAGAAATATTTATAGGCAAATCGGCCAAGCTGGAAATTATTTTCATTAAGTTCATGAAATGTCCGTTAGGGGGCGTAACCTCTACTGTAAAATAGAAAAAACGGGTTTTCTCAGAAATATTCCGAACTAACCTATATCAAAATTAGTTTTAATGTAATCTACTCTAGATAAGGAAACTGTTTTGTTTCAACTATTTTTTTTGTCTCGTCAAATTAAAGGTTTGGCAACACTACAGAATATGCTTTTCCAGCATGATGGGTGCCCGGCTCATTTAAGATTATTATTATTAAGGAATTTAAGGTTTCCCAATAGGTGGATAGGCAGGGGAAGTATTTCCATGGTCAGTTAGATAATTATAATCATAAAAGGTGAATTAGGTTTATTTATAATTTTGTTTAAATTTAATTATTATCAATCGCCTGATCTAACGTGCTTAAATTTTTATTTGTGGGGCAGATTAAATATATTAAAGATATCTCTATGCTACACGACCAACTACACGGTAGAACATGATAGAGATAATAAGGAGCTCCGTTCAATTTCAATGGCTGAAGTAGAGACTGCTGCTCTTTCTACACAGACAAGGCTACTGCTTTGCATTGAGAATGAAGGACGCCAGTTTGAACATTTGGGAAGCCATTAATGATTTTGTTATGTGTGTAGTTGGACATAAACCAAAGCGGCCTTCAATTACTATAGAACCCAGCCTAGTAGTATCGAACCTTTACCATAAATTTTCATCCCGTCATAATATGTCATCTCTTGGTTATCTCTGATACTGGTTATATTATACCTACGTAAAAAATTAAATTAAATTAATTTTTATTTATCTCAGAGGAGAAAAACGATATTGCCATGCCGTTTACACTACTTGCAGTTTGTTTAAGCTTCTTCATTCTAGCTAAAAGTATTATACCATTATATTTGAAATTTTCCAGCAAAATTATGAAAATAGCTGTTTTTCACATGAAACACCTCCTACCGACTCGTAACAGAATTAATATCGTGATATTGACATGTCAGTCGGCAGCTCCTATAAATACTCTTTAAAACTAAACTAAGTTCGTCGAAATCGGATTAGTAAAAAAAAATTATTCAACTTTTCCTATACCAATATTTGACCCTTCCCCACCCTTAATTTGACGAGATAAAAAAATAGCTCAAACAACAAAAAGTTTTCATATCAAAAGTAGATTAGGTTAAAAGTAAGTTTTTTTCTATTTTACAGTAGCGAATTTTTATCAACCTGAAAATAATTTCCAGCTTTTTCTCTTGGCCGATGTACCTATAATTTTTTTTCTAAGTTGTAGGACTAATGGTATATTCACTCAGTCACGACCAAATTCCAGTCCGGCAATGTTTATTGTTTAGTAGTAGTTAGAGCGTAACAATAACCAAAAAGCAACACTAATGAGTGTTTTAATTACTTATTGTTCAGTAGGTAAGAAATGAATATTTGAAATGTGACAAAATAAAGTTAACAACGAAAATCAATAGCTTTTTTAGTTAGGCATCTTCTTCATTTCGATTTAGTTACTATTTATCTCCGAACTGCCATGTTTATTTACGACATAGCTGTAGTAGCTGTAGCAGAAGCACCAACAATCATTTCCATTTAATTAACCACCAAAGTCTTATTAGTTAAATTTATTTCTTGTTGCACGTTCTGTACCTCAAAGAAATGTGTTTCTTTTTGCAGGTGCGAGACGTACATTCATGTAACGTACGACCAGTTGTACTTAGCAATAGGCACGCCGAAGCAAACGGCAGTGGAAAATTGTTTTGCATTTTTCTTACTATTTTTATGTGTGTATTAATTTTTATTTCTTGATTTTAAGTAATTAAACAAAAATCTGCTGGTGTTTGTCTTACGATTCGAGTTTCAAAATTTAATCAAGACGTTCTTTGATTCTTTTTAATGACCTCTAATACTCCAATTGACCTAAATTTACTTTATTATTATTTAATTTTAAATTACAATGCATGTGCATTTTGGGAAAGTTCTTATTTAAAAGTTACTGTTTTGTGGTCGTCTAAAATACTACAATGTATTTACTAAAAATTTCAAAAGTTCTTATTAAGTTTAACATCGTTCTTTTATGGCGTCATATTTTCTTGTTTTTTACTAGAGACAAGTAATTTTTCTCGCACATTCGATAACCAAACTTAATAATTATAATTAATCGATGGTTATTGCCACGTGTTGCTTCTCATTCTACCGCCCATAAATAAATCACCCAAATATAATATCCTATCGAAGATTCCCACTGCTCTGATCTGCATATTTATTACACTTCTAATAGCGAGTCAATAGAGAATATTATCATTTTGGTAATTTGGTAAACTGACCAAAACATTCAAAAACTTTTTTCTTATCTAATTCCGCTATGCTAAAATGTGTTTGTTGGTATGACAACACAATTTTTAAGTTTTAAAGTAGGTGCTGAGACATTTGGAAACATCACATTTAATTTTTATGAGTGTAGAATATTTTGAAACCTTAGATCACTATCGTCATTCACACATAGATTAAAAAATCGATTTGGTTGTATTGGTTTCAAATTATTTTAATTAAATTATTAAAATGTTCGATTTAATTTAAATATGACAGTTTCCGAATTAGACTATTTAATTGTTTTCCAGATTTCTCGTTCTTCTATTTTTTAAAGAGCAAAATAATTTTTTGAGGTTTAGTATAAAGGTTTTCGTTTTGTAGAAAACCAAAATAAAGATGGCAATGCCGGAGAATTCGACGCATCATATTAGAGAGAGAAAACATATAGAAATTTTAAAAAATGTTTCATTCCAGCATTCAGCAGCAGTCAGTATGTTTTACACATTTTGTAAAAATAAAAATAATACCAGTTCAAAGCTCATGATCATGCTCAAGTATCGTTTAAAAATTTCCTTGAACTCGATTCACTCGATGTGATTACGCAGAAATTCCTAAATATCAGCACTAACATGAAGCGAACAAATAAGAAACACAAAAAATCGCTTTAGTGAGGACGAATAATGGTCGAACATCGAAATATATTTCGATAGCACGATTTATGGGGCCGAAGGAACCATTCAATGTAAAACAAGATAAAATGCTAAATTTTGGCCATTTAGAAATCCGACCCTGGCCGACGTTTCGGTTTCTTTATTGTACACCCGAAATGCGATTGACAGAAATGCGGGTGAATATTTGACATTTTAAGCCGTAGGACTAAAAGCAACGAAAATAGTCTAATCTACCACAGAACTTACAAGTAATTTTACGTAATACCATTGCGACATCATGAAAATGAACCTGTTTAAAAATTCCCCATATACTTTTTAATATTTATAAATTCTTTAAAATCATCCACGGGACCACCGTGATACCGATGCGTGCGCTGATTTTATCGAAATTGATCGATGAAGTGTGCAACAAGTAGAAAATCAATTATTCAAAGATTGTTGTGTAAGACGAGAAGCGTATAATCCTGCAATGGGTGTTTAAACATAAGAATCATTACTACACGGTATTATCTTACAATTTTCAAAACGTATTAATCATACTTCGCGATTATTTATGACTTCTTCGGGTATCCATGAACAAATCGAACACAAATAGCTACGAAAATCAATAGGAAACTAAGATAGCTGTAGTTAATTATGGTGGGTTTTAACGTAGGTCCACGTTATTTGCTGCGCTGATTCTTGTTCGATTGAGTGGACTGTATTTTTCGAATAACTTTATTTTTTAACTTTTACAACTTAACAAACTTTTACAACTAACAAACAAAGGAAAAAACATATGAAAATGAATAACGAAGCTTAACGTTTGCTAGCACGGGTTGTAATGTCGAGACCCAGCGTCCCGTGGTCTCTCTTAAGGGTCGGCAGCGCCGATCCCTTTTTTGCAGGCAACCTTTTTTTACGGTGCTCGCGATGTTGCCGTTGCTGGGCAGTTTTGAGGATTGACCATCCCGCCGGCCTTGAAATGTCCAGCGGACTTCAAAGCGCAGAAATATTGATCTCGTCCACGGGTAACGGGCATATCTTGTTGATTGACCGCTTGGCTATCCCGTTCCTTGTGCGTATGGAAACCACCCGCACCAAGTTGTCGGTTCCAGGATGGACTGCTACAACGCGACCCATTGACCATTGTAACGGCGGCAAATTTTCGTCCTTGAGTAGAACTAACGCATCCACTTTGATGTTTTCGCATTTTACGTGCCATTTTCCACGCTGCTGCAAAGTATGGAGGTAGGAATGACTCCAAAGCTTCCAAAAATTTTGAACCAATTGCTGCAACTGATGGAAATTTTTCAAACGATTGCTGGGAATTTCGGTTACGTCATGTTGAGGTGTGGCTAATAAATTTCCACCTATTAATAGGTGTCCTGGCGTCAGAGATTGTAGGTCCGTGGGATCACTTGATAAGGGAAGGAGAGGTCTCAAATTTAAGATAGCTTCAATTTGTACAACGACTGTATATAGTTGTTCGTAATTTAACTTTGTTTCACCCATTACCTTTTGTAAATGATTCTTAAATGACTTTATAGCGGATTCCCAAATTCCACCGTGATGCGGAGATCTCGCGGGTATAAAATGCCAAGTAATGCGATTTTCCAAGAAATAATTACTTTGAGTTTCATTGCTAGCAGTTTGAGCAACGCTTTCGTAGAATTTGTGAAAAATGTTATTCGTACCCACAAAGTTTTTAGCGTTATCGCTGTAAAGATGCTTTGGAAGTCCTCGACGGGATACGAAACGCTTAAACGCGTCCATAAAGGCTTCAGAAGTAAGATCTGTAATTATCTCTATGTGAACCGCTTTTGATGACAAACAAACAAACACCGTCAAGTAAGTTTTGATCAAAATTTTTGTTCGAGTTTTGGATGCCTTAGTAAAATAAGGTCCAGCTAGATCAATTCCGGTGAATGTAAAAGGTCTAGAGGGAGTAACGCGAGGTTGAGGCAATGAACCCATTTGTTGACTTATATTAAAAGGTTTTACACGAAAGCATACCATGCATTTTCTCAAAACGCTGCGGATCTGGTTTTTTGCGTTCAGCGGCCAGAAATCCTCTCTTATCCTCTCGAGAATAAATTGGGTACCAGCGTGTAAATATTTTCTGTGATAATGTTCAATTAAAAGCCTAGTGAAATGATGTTTGCTGGGCAAAACAATTGGATGCTTATGATTAAAAGCAAGATGAGAATTTTTCAAACGTCCTCCTACGCGCAGTAAACCAATTTCGTCGATAAATGGACTTAAAGCAAGCAACTTGCTGCCTTTTGGAATGTTTTGATTTGAATTTAAACATTTAATTTCCGTCTGAAAAACTTGATGTTGAATATTGATACATAATTTGGTAATTGCATTGTCAAGCTCACATTGAAGCAGTGTATCAAATCGCCTTGCCTTTTTGTGCCTTAAATTGTAGCCAAATCGCAATACATATGCGGTGATACGAATCAATTTTCGATAAGTTGAAAAACGTTCTATTAAGCCAAGATTATTTAATAAAGTAAAAGATAAAATGATGTTTTCTTTTCGCGCCTCAGGTAAGTCGGGCATATTAACAATATGCGTTTTAGGCCAGGAGCTTTCTTCCTCGATAGGAAAGGTAGGACCTTGAAACCATTTTTGGCAATTCTTTAACTCCGATAGGTTTAAACCACGTGAAATAATATCAGCTGGGTTATTTTCCGATTCAATGTGTTTCCACGATGAATTTTCACTTAATATTTGTATTTCCGAAACCCGATTCGAAACAAATGTTTTCCACTTGTTCGGTTCCGAATTAATCCATGAAAGTGTTATCATAGAATCTGTCCAACAGGTAACTGAGGAAATTGGGACTCGTAAAATTCGTACTACTTTCGACATTAACTGGGATAAAAGTAATGCGCTTGATAATTCTAGTCTAGGTAGTGTTTGTGTTTTTAAAGGTGCAAGTTTCGATTTTGCACAAATTAAATTTGATTTTCTTTCCCCATAGGAATTTTCGGACAATGCATAGATGCATGCGCCGTACGCGTGCATGGATGAATCGCAGAAACCGTGTAAAGCAATTTTAGTGTAGTCCGGGCTAAAAATTTTGCGATCAATCTTTATGTCATTCAACGAGTGCAAGTTTTCCAAAAAATTTGACCAATTTTCTTTTATGCCTTGCGGTACTTCGGAATCCCAATCTGCTTGGATTTGCCAAAGTTGTTGTAGAATTAATTTTGCCTTCACCACACACGGGTTAATGAGGCCTAAAGGATCGAATAATTGTGCAACACCGGAAAGTATACTTCGCTTTGTAATTAGATCGGCTTTAATAGATAAATTAAAAGCATAACAAAGCGTATCACTAATCGGATCCCAAATAACCCCTAGAGTTTTGGTCTCCTCGCTGCTCCTTATGCAAAATTCTGAATTTGTGTTAAAATTATCATTTTCTAGAACACTTAGATCATTCGATCTCCACTTACGTAAATTAAAACCTGATTTTAACAAGGTAGCCGAAACATTTTGCTTAAGTTTTATCGCGTCAGAAACATTTTCTGCGCCCGAAATAAGATCGTCAATATAAAAATCTTCCATTATGATTTTTCGGATTTTTGGATCTGTTGAATTTCTCCCGATTTCATTAAGTGTACGCGTTGCTAAAAAACTTGAACTTTTTAGTCCATATGTAATCGTATTTAAATTAAAATGAGCTATTTCGTGCGAGTGATCCTCGCGCCAAATAATTCTTTGCAAAGGTCTATGAATTTTGTTTACTGAAACCATCCGATACATTTTCTCGATGTCCGCCGTAAGAACTATCTTGTGAGTGCGCATTCGGACAATAATATCAAATAAATCACTCTGCACCTTCGGCCCTAATTTCATTACTTCGTTTAAACTTAAGCCTGTTGAGGTAACGCACGAGGCATCGAAAACTACGCGAGCGCGGGTGGTGCAACTTTGATCCTTAAAAACTACATGATGTGGAATATAATATGATAAGGCGGCTTCATTTATTTCCCTTTCAGTTAAGCGAGTCATGTGACCCATTTTTTCATACTCCCGTAAAAAGGAAATATACTGAGCCTCTGTGTCGGGTGCCCTGGCTAGCCGCTTTTCAAGAAAATGTAAACGTTTTATCGCCGTCGGCAGTGATTGACCTAATTCGACATAAGAATCTTTCAGCGGTAATTTTACCTCGTATTGTCCATTCGAATTGACTCGCGTATTTTCACGGAAATGGATTTCACAATCGAGTTCCTCGTTAGACAATTTTGAATGTGGATTATCGACGTTTTCGAGTTGCCAAAACTTTTCAATTTGTCGACTTAACTTGTCAACATTAAGAAAACATTTACTATCCGATTTATTGTCAAAGCCGTTACATTGCATTGGACCAGCTAACACCCATCCAAGTTTTGTATTTTGCAATATGGGATTTTTCTTTCCCAGTTTCATTTGACCATAATTTAAAATGTCAAAAAATATAGTTGCGCCGAGTAAAACATCAATGCCTTGAGAAATGTTAAAGCAATCATCAGCTAAATGTAAATGGCTTGGAATACTCAGTCTAGTAACATCGAAAGAATATTGTGGCAATTCAGATGTTATCTGGTCGACAACTAGAAGTGGCAACGATGCCTGGTATTTATTGTCAGTAGAAATTAACTGCGTATCCACTTGACAACAGATGTTGGAGGGTGATCCGTTTATACCTGAAATTGACAGGTCCAAACGTTTCCCTGGTAACTTAAGTCGCTCAAAAAATTCTTTAGTGCAAAAGTTAGATTGACTCCCTGAATCTAATAGCGCCCGACAGGAAATAAATTTATTGTCGCTGTCAAGAACTTTAATAACCGCGGTGGCTAATAATACCTGATTTTTATTTGGCAAATAAAAATTGGATGTTAAGGCGACCGTTTTGTCTTCGCTTATATTATCGATTTGTGGTTCGTTGTTTTTGACATTTTCATTTATTTTGATTTCGAGTTTAAAGTCAGGATCATGCAACATGGTGTTATGGCGTTTATTGCAAATTTGACATGTTTTTCCCTTGCAATCATCCGCTTTGTGGCCGATTTGCAAGCAGTTTGTGCATATTTGAGCCCTTTTTAATTCGCTTAATCTCTTTTTAATTGACATGGCAAGCAATTTGCGACACCTATATGTGACATGCGTGTCCTGTTTACAAAAAGAGCACCTGAATTTAAATTTTGATTGGTTTGAATGCTTTTCGTTATTAGTAACAACGTGAGAATGCGTTTTGTCCTTGCTAGCAGATTTATTGTCTATTGTTTCTAATAATTGACATTTATTTTTAAGAAAATTCAATAAATCTTCTAGTTTTGGGCTTGTTATCTTGGTAGTGGAAGCTTCCCATTCTTTGCGAGTTTGATTATCTAATTTGCTTATTGTTACGAATATTATTGGAGTGTCCCAATGATTTACAGGTTCATTTAAATTTTGTAGCGCGCGAGTATTTCGCTGAATCGTATCGATTAGCTTACGTGTTGCTACGTGCGACTCCCTAGGCACCGGAGCTAAATCAAAAAGATTTTTCACATGATTGTGAATTAACATTTTTTTGTTTTCAAAACGCTCTTTTAAAAGTTCAATCGCGACGTCATAATTAGTTTCGCTTAGCTGTAATGAGTGTAAGAGTTGCGCTGCCTCACCTTTCAAATATGACTGCAAATAGTAAAATTTTTGAACATTTGACAGATCGATTCTGTTATGTATGACTGACTCATATATTTTGAAAAATGGTATCCAACCCTCGTAAGAACCCGAAAAAAATGGAACATTCATTGTTGGTAAATTTGGAAGTACATTATTAGAATTGCTTACTTGTTGAATTGGACTTTCGGTTTGTCTGCTTGCCATCGCAAGCTTTTCTAGTGACTCTGTCATTGTAGAAGCTTTAGAAACTACCCTGAAATAGTTGTCTTCAAATACATCGCGTTCGTTGACTTGCGAAGCATCTAGTATTTCTAATTCTGATTGAATTTTATCGAACTCTTCCCATGTTTCTTCTATCTTTTTTAGGCGTAATTTTAATTCGGACAAAGATGTTTCTTGTTGCTCAAATTGGGAAATTCGCGACTCGAATTTTGTTAGCCTAGCTTTTAGAATACCCCTTTTATTTATTATTTATTATTTTTCTCGAAATTTAATACTGCGCACGTACAAATCCGAATGACAAACTAGGAAAAAACTAACTAATAAATTGAAAATATTCGAGAGTGAAATGGAATTTTTGGAAAATGGAATGGACCTACTTGCTCTTTGTCGACACCTGCCGTCTGCTGGTTGCCAACCGCCGTACTCGCTTCAATTCTATTCGACGTAATCCGGCTCGAAGGACCAAAATGGTGGGTTTTAACGTAGGTCCACGTTATTTGCTGCGCTGATTCTTGTTCGATTGAGTGGACTGTATTTTTCGAATAACTTTATTTTTTAACTTTTACAACTTAACAAACTTTTACAACTAACAAACAAAGGAAAAAACATATGAAAATGAATAACGAAGCTTAACGTTTGCTAGCACGGGTTGTAATGTCGAGACCCAGCGTCCCGTGGTCTCTCTTAAGGGTCGGCAGCGCCGATCCCTTTTTTGCAGGCAACCTTTTTTTACGGTGCTCGCGATGTTGCCGTTGCTGGGCAGTTTTGAGGATTGACCAAATTATGTTCTTTTAGTGGAATCTGCTGGTTTTAACATTCAAATGGTATTTGTCAAACTACGTTAACAGAACATTTTAATCGTATATTTCTTGAAACGATAAGAAACAAATAATTGATTGAATAGATTGTCCTTATTGCTTACCTCAGGACAACAAAATAAATCATATTTACTTAAACTAACCTAACTAGTGCAAAATGACTATAATAAAATAGTTAGTAATAATATAAAAAAATAATTATTTTTTACATATCGTTCGGTTTGTCCAATGCAATTTTCGTGAGATTGCTTAAAAGGTCACTTCAATATTTAATTTTATTTCTTCTCGTACAATCTTGCAATGGGTGTTTAAACATAAGAATCATTACTACAGAGTAATATTTTACAAGTTTCAAAACATATTAATCATATTTCCCAATAATTTATGACTGTTTCAGATAACCTTAAACAAATCGAACACAAATCGTAACGAAAATCAATAGGAAACTAAGACAGTGGAATCTCCCGGTCTTAATATTCAAATGGTATTTGTGCAAACTACGTTAACAGAAGATATTAATCGTATGTTTATTGAAATGATAAGAAACAAATAATTGAATAGGTTGTAATTATTGCCTTCCTCAGGACATCAAAATAAATTATATTTGCTTAAAATTATCAACCAAACTAGTGCAAAATGACAATAATAAAACAGTAGTAAGAATATAAAAAATATATATTTTCAACATATCTTTCGGTTTTTCCAATGCAATTTCCATGAGATTGCTTAAAAGGTCGCTTCAATATTTAATTTTATTTCTTCTCAAGAGAGGTCGATTCTTTCATTTTTCTTAATCATGATAGAAAGTTATTGGATATGAGAAAAACTTTTATTAATGACATTTTTGAAGTTTAAGTTATATGTTTAATTTTGCTTATCAGAAGATGAAAAATCGCCTAGATGAACAAGTTTTTCGTTTGGTGTCAAAAGCATTATGCTCGCTTTATTGTTCCTATATTATGTACGTATAGGACACAAAGTTGATAAAATTGGGGCAAAATAACACGTTTATTTATGTAAAGCTTTTTATTTCTCATTATTTCACGAAAACACCTTTTTTGAATTGTCATTTTTTTGTCATGATGCAAAATATAGTCTCTGTATTGTAAATGTTTCTAAACATTTCAGAGTTCGCTTTTCCAGAGAATAAAGATTGATTGAACTGAGGTGGCTTTTACTTGATGAAAATCCATTTATCAAAATAAATAAGAACTAAAAGTTCAGATTTTCACGAAATTGCTAGTAATTTCGTGAAAATCAGAACTTTTAGTTCTTATTTATTTTTTTTAATAAATATTGAACTTACACGCATTAGAATTTCAAGTTAAATTATATATATCCTGGAAACAATGTTGAAGCAATTTATTATTATTTAATATAATGAAACTGTTAACAAAATTTCGTGAAAGCGTGAATATGAAATCCGCCTACGACAACGGAGACCGAAGTAGAAACATAATACAAAAATGACCGGGGCGACATTGTAACCATATCTTACCCGTCAGACAAATCACCTCCATTAATAATTTCACCAACTGCGGATATTATTTATCCAACGGATCAGCATCACCACCGAGGAAATATAAAAATCGAGATTTACAGGGTTACCACAAGTAAAGCAAGTATATAAATGGTCAACTGCTTAAAAAGTAGAGTTTGTACAAGTTTTCCATCCTAAAAAAGAGAGGTTATTTTCGGACACCATGTATATAGGTGTCCGAAAATAACCTCGAAATATTTTTGAGGTCAAAATTGTGGTAAGTTTTTCTCTACAATATTTTTGTAATTCCTGAGGACAAATTACTGAAATACAATAATATTATTCAAAACAAAGTAGGCGTTGTTGCAATTTATTGAGGAGCAATTAAATAAGTTGTTACTAGTGAGCAATTGGCATTCACAACAAATCTTTAGGGTTTCATCTTTGAAAGGCTCTTTTAGTGAGGAACTTTTGATGCATATTCATAGAAACTATTAGTTACGTGAAGGTTGAAGTGTTTTTATCTCCAAATAATATATAAATTACATTAAAAATTGCAGCACTCAGTAATTCTACAGAAAATGTATTAAATTTTAGGTCATCAACAAGGCTATTGTATAACTTAACTCACTTGTAGTACTGTTTCCATGATTTGTATTATTTGTATTGATTTTTTTATATTCTTATCTACCTTTTATTTAAACGCTCTGTAGAGGCCATATCGAATCGCAAAACGCTTATACAAAATTCCGGATTAAAAAAATAAAGGACACCACCACGTTTCAGTTCTTCAAGAAATTCACCTCAGAGCCGAGAAAAGTAATGTGTTTGGCATAAAAATGAAATGTACCCGTGTAAAGGTAATTTCGGGAGATAAATCATCGGCTTCGCTTAATTCTTAAGTTACGATGGCGAGTTTACGAACGCGCAGCAACAGAAGTAACAAAAGCTCACTGAACCACTGGCGCAATAAATATACACAACTATTGTATCCGAAAATTTTACAAAACGCACTAAATGCGCTGTTCCCTATTCTAAAATAGTGAATTATATACTCACAAACTTGTAACTAAAGGTTGTTCCTTAATATACTATAATGAAGTAAATTGAAATACAAGGATATCAGTTTTACAAAAACTTACCAATTTGTAATTTTATAATGTGCAGTTATTATCATAGAGACATGTATATATGTATATGCAAATAATTTTATAACATTTTAATTGATTGTAACTTTTTTGTTTTTAGGGATATCAAGGTAAACGAAAAAACAAAATGTAGGGTTAGCAGCCAATTTTTTTCCAAGTGACTTATAAAACAGAACACTATCAATTTTTGACACATAATCCTATAAAATATGTGTTTAATAGAACATGTTATTCCACTCGTTTTTGACAAATCAGCAAAAATGGGAAATTTCAAAGAGTGTCCTGACTGACAAATAAAAATGTTTATGTCTGACATATTAGTAAACGACGTTGATGGTTGAATTATTGTTCACGTCACTATTATTAAAAAGGTTTTTCTGGAATTCAGCATCCGTGATATCACTCTGCTTCAAGTATACTTTCTGAATAATAAAAGTGCAACGGCAGCTCGTCCTCAGTATATTAGACGTTATCCAGAGCATCGAGCTCCTTCAAAATAGATATTTCTAAGGCTGGCAAAGAAATTTGGGGAAAACGGTAACCTATTAAATGCTAAAAAGGTATGCCGGAATCATAATGTTTTAAATGAAGAAAATAAGGTTAACATATTAGGATTCGATGAAGCACATCCGGTTTCCTCTATTACTAGAATATATGAAGAGTATTTCTCGATTATCAATACACTCAGTTTTGAAAAAATATAAATATAATGCATTTATATTTCGTAAAACTCAAAAACTAAGTACAGAACAATGTCAAAAGAGGATTTATTTTGATTTTTTAAGTAGACATAATGATAATAATCAATCAATTAATATATGGTGTGGTGTCATAGATGAGCATATTTTGGGTCCGATATCTATAGATCAAAAGGAAATTGGAGATCAATATTTGCAACTCTTAGAGCACCAATTACAACAATATATAGAAGATTGTTCCCTAAATATATCAGCGCCGATTATATGGCAACCAGACGGTGCCCCTCTTCACAATGTTGTGCAACTTAAATATTTTCTTAACTTGGAATATCCCAGGGGTTGGATAGGGAACGGCGGAACTATTAATTGACTAGCCAACAGCCCCAACTTAACTTTAATGGATTTTTTCTTTTCTTTTGTAATAATGTCGTGTAACTTCAGCAAAGGATTTCAGAAGCAACCAATCAGTTAAGAGACAATCCGGAAAGGTTATTAAATGCGACATATCATACAATTATAGCGTATGAGAATTGTGTTCAGGAAAATGGTGGTCACATACAGCAGTAATTAGAATAGTTAAAGAATTTTTTATTTTAGTGTGTCTTGTCATTTTTAAATTTTTTGTTCTACTTTAATTTGTAAATAATTATTGTTGTTGCAGTCCGTCACGGAACTCTTTGAAACTATATAAAAATTCCAAATTTTTGCTGATTTGTCAAGAACGAGTCTACTAAAACGTAAAATGTGTTACATCATTGTAACCGCAATTAGATATTCTATTAAACACATATATAATATAATATAAAAATATGATGTAGGCTTATATGTCAAAAAATTGATAGTGTTTTGTTTTATACGTCACTCGGAAAAACCTGGCTACTAACCCTGCATTTTTTTTGTTTACCTTGATATCTCTAAAAACGAAAAAGTTACAGCTAATTAAAATGTTGTCAAGATAAATTGAACGCACGGTACACTTGATTCACCTTGTCTCTGAAGTTCTGTTTAATTTGTTTTTTTTATAAGAACATTCGAA